CTTGCCTTTGGAACAGCATGCTATACAACGTTCTACAGAATAAAAGATTTTGTAAAACTGGTCATCGGGACGATGCATCAAAAGAAGACAGTACTACATGGGGAACAGCAGACACATGAAAGTTACATCCACACAAACCACACACATTTGCATGCTACACGGCAGAGAGCAAACCCTTTTCTTGCTGAGTAGAGTCTTTCTCAGAGAAATAGGTGAAGAAGAGTCACAGGGTTCCAAATCCTATAATCATCCAATAACATCACGATATTGACACAATTATAGCCAACACAATAGTATTCCCACCCCCATTCCTCCTATCCCATCTCCCAGAGTGTCACAAATCAGGAAAAATAGAGCAGGGCCTGGAAAAACTTAACCAGACAATGTGCACACTGGTGGGCAAAAGTAAGCTGCATATCAGTCTCACAAAATATCACTAATTAAAGAAAATGCCCTGTCGTTTAAAAATATTAGAAAAAATAACATGGTATCAATTTCATGGCTTAATTTAAAAGCTTTCAAGCTGACAATAAATGATAGATTTCTGATATTAATTTAAGTAGTAAAAATGAGGCATTTTATATATGTCTTGGAAAAGGTGATTAAACTTTAATTAATATTTTAAAATATTAAAGTTATGTGAGGAGGATTACAAATTAATATAGCCTAATACCTTTTACATGTATTTGAAACTATAAATAGAAATGTTTTCATATCTTGTTGTCTTCTAAACATTTTATTTTTTTACTTCACAACTAAAAGTCCATGTTTTAAAATAATTATTGGAAGATTATTTTGTTTTTAGACTGATAAACCACATACTTTTAAATTTAAGAAAATATGAATGATCACTATTTAAATTAGGATTTTTAACACAACCCTAAATATATTACAGCCACCTAATGAAACCAAATGTTAATCTTTATTTAGAGTGATGAAAAAGAGCATTAACTTAAATAATACCATGGTTTGAACAGTAGGGGTCAGGGTGACTCCCATACATAGCATATTCCATAAAATTAGGATATGCTCTGCAGATTATGCAAAATCTACATCTGTTTCAATAGCAGTGGATGAGTTTAGCTTAAACAGTGTGAAAATGTCTTTATAATACACTGTCAATATATTGTCAACAAACATGTTAATAAATAATTCTATGAATTGACTCAATAGCATCTTAATAGAAATAAAATTAATTGTTCATGGTACAGGCCATAACTGTTTACTTTCTAAAGTTTTCTAACAGATTAATGAAGAATATATCACTTACAATAGAATGATTGTTTATTTTTCTTTCAAAATCTGAATATGGACTTTTGTTTTCTTGTACTAGATATAAATGTGGGATATCATGTTCCTAGTACATCATATTTTTCTCATATTCTTTGGTGGTTTCAAGAATACTACTTCTGGTAGGCATTGGTATCTATGGATTGCTGTAGTTTGTTCAAACTAACATTCAATATCAGACATTCTATTTTTGTTCTTTTAGTGTTTCAGTGGACATCCTGGCACCTATTTCTTCTAATGTCCCTCAGATAAGCCTTTAGAAATAGAACAATTTAAAGTATATGAGCATTTTGGAGGTCCTTAGTATACAACATCAAATAACCCTTTAAAGCAAGACTACCAGTTCCCAATTTTCTTTGGCAGTGAATAGAAAATATTGTTTTCTTATATATTGACCAACCCTAAAAAATTTTTTTTATTTTGCTAACTTTTTATAATTTTTCCCTATACTGGCATGTGGTGAAGGTGTCCAGCATCTTGATATCTTAGTTGGATTTTTGTCTTTTATAACCAGGATCTTGATGACTTTTGATAATGTTCTGATCGGCTCATTTCTTTAGGACATGGTTAACTTAGGATCTAAGGACTGACATTTAATGGAAGAAGAAATATCTCTTAAAAATGTCATAGAAGATTAATTTCAGATAAAGACCTAGATGAAACCATAGGTGGCACGGTGGGTTATCTGCCAAGAGTCAAAAGGGCAGGAGGAACAGAGACACATAGGCTCATCCCTACCACACCTTGCCTACTCTGGGATGTTTCTCGTCATTAGCTGTTTTGGTAAGAAAACAGGTTGAATAAGTTGTGAATCAAGATCCTCTGACAAATAACTGTACAAAAAGTACAGCTCCAGAGGATAGCGTATCAGTTGCCATGAAGATAAGGGTGCTTTATGCAGGCGAAGACTTTGAACAGCAAAAAACAGAAGCCTCTTCATACGCACCCGGTACAGCGACCTGCTTTATAATTCATTCAAACACATTTTCCCCTTTCATCGGGGCATCTTTTCATTTTATTTGCTGTTCAAAACAGTAGGACACAAAGGATGCTCTTCATCTTGCGTGCCACTGAAATGAAATCTTGAGGTAGGAAAAAAGGAAAAAAGAAAACCCTTGCCCTAAATTCGCTTTCAAAAGTGAAGTGTGAAAAGACCTCAAGCAGAGCACACAGCGTTACTGTTGCACGAAAGTCGATTCCGTGATGACAGAGTCCAAGGTCGGCAGCAGCCGCTCAATCCCTCCCTCACCCACGGTGAACAAGGAGAAGAGTGCAAAGGGAAAGGTTTCCACTGGGGGAAATGGAATTTCCCATTGTCTTTTCTCTCAATTATCGTGCACACGTATGAGCACAGCTGCGTCTTTCTTCTGACTAATCCTAAAGCTGAAGCCATAATACTCACTGCCTCCTGTCTGTCCCCAAGGCCTTCATCACTGCATGTCCTATATTAAGTAGCAGAAACTTCAAATTTATCTTGTAATGAGGCAGCAAACTAAAAAGATCCAATCTGTATGAGTTAGTTTGGTACTGAGAAGATTAAAGATGATTTTAAAAATTTTAAAAACCTTGAAAATTTGGTTTGCATAAGCATCCTTGGATATTTAAATACATTTTTAATTGCATAGTAAAAGCTGACTTTAGAAGATCATTAAAAATCAAATAATCTTAATAAGCAAAATACTCAGTGGTTTTATGGATAAGTTATCATGGACTTGTTCATGTGGCAGTTTATATTACACAATAGTGAATTAATTGTCATCTCAAAATTCTTGGCAGAATTATATATATTAAAAAATACATATTCATATACCAAGTGATCACATAAATTGTTTTAGGCTTCATAGTTTTAGGATATGTGTATTCATTATTACTTTAATTGGGGTTTTTAAATCACCAGGGGAAATAATGTGCATAAATATACACTAGGCCCTTGAACTACAGAGGTATTTCTAGTAGAGAACATTCAGTGCTAGACAGATTCTTCCTGGATTCTCTGAAACTTGCATTAGTTCAAGTAACATAATAACGCATGGATTGTGCGAAAACTGAGCTCTTTGTAACCCGCTTGGCTTATAAGAGTTTATGAAAAATGCTTCCTTAATGAAAAGTTGTACAATGAACCAATGTATTAATAATAGTGAAGTTTCCCTCATGTGACAGTTTTTTGGCAATACAGGGGCACTCCAGAATTGTATGCCGTGATATAAATTTTCCATACCTCCAGAGAGACATGTACAGAATGTCTGCTTTGTGACTAAGACTTTGCTAAAGTGTGTGCATATGTGTGTGTGTAAGTGTGTGCATGTGTGTTTGTATGTGTGTTTACTGGATCTCTCCAGCGTTGTGGTTTTGGCTGCAAATAATTTACTTTACATTCCCTCTGGTAATTCCCTACTTACATAGTTGCCTACAAATCAGAAAGTTAAAATCTATTTGTAAAATTACCAATTGACTAACAAAAAAAGATATCATGTCTACACACACACACACATTCTATCAGATTCCTTTTACTTTGACAAGAGGAAGTGGTAAAAATAAGCAAAGTCTCTTCTCTTACATCCAAGGTGCTCCCTGATGAGCATAGCACACTACAACTGCATGCAAGGATTCTGGTTCGTGTTTTTCTTCAGGTCTGGAGTATTCTGTCCATGTCAATTGATGTTATTCTGTTCTGTGCTGAGGGAATTTTCAGATTTAACAACAATGGACTATGATGTACTTTCGACAGCACATCACTTCCTCTCAGAAGAAATTATTTTAGGCATATAAAAATGAGTAAGATTTCAGCTGTTACCACCAATCCCCTAAGTTTAGCAGGAGAAATAGTATTTTGTGAAGCCCAGGGGCCACAGATAGTTTAACCGTTTGGAAGGTAACATGTCTACTCACCTTATCTGAAGGATGTCCAGCTTCCCTTAATGTTAATATTTGGTACTCTGTGATTTTGTAAATTGATTTTTAAAGGATCGGGAAAAAGAACCCAATGTTTCCTTTTCACTAGATCTTTCCTTTCTTTAGTCACAATGGAGCTTCGATTCTAGCATTTTCCATGTTAGAGTAATACTGAGGTAGAGACCATAGGAAGTTTGAACATTCAGTCCCAGGGTACCAAGCAACACTGAAAGACCGAATAGCCCAGTGTGCAAAAGATCACTGTATCTGGAAACAGTTTTACCAAAATTCAATCAGAAAATAAAATAAAACATAATAGTCTTTAGGCCTAGGCACTAAACTGTCTTTTACTTTATCATCTTCAAATATCTAAGTATCCTGTTTGCATGTGTGATGTCTAAATCTCTGGAAAAACAGATAAAGATAGAAACTGACAAACCTCAATTTCATTAGAGATAGCACAGATGGGAGAAGACAGAATTTTCTTACTTTGTACAGGTAAAAAGACAAAATGTTCTCAGGGCTGGAATATAAAAAGCTACCTTTCTAGCCCAGATTAGTACCTCAGAGTAAAACTGAGTGCTACATTTTCCAAAAGTCCACCAATTTACAGGATGGCTCTCATTTTTAGCTCAGGAAGGATTGTGCTATTTCTGCTTTACTCATCAGTGTACAAAGTCTGCATGGATCTGTACCTTTGCGATAAATAAATAAAATAATCTGTGACATGACATCTTCCAAAAAAACTTTTGATGACCATACCAAAAGAAAAACAATTTAAATATTTTATCAGCTAAAATTCTGAAGGAAATACATACCCAAACCTTCAGATTCAAACAGACACGTTTCATCCACTCCTAAATCTCGACACCAGGATAAGAAATTCGCTGTATTATCTCGGGCAAAAAAGGAGCCTGAGGGTGCGCTGGCTTTGCATGGAATCTTCTTCAATGGCAGACTCTGGAAAGTAAAAATATCTCACTCTGCTGTGGTATTTGGCAAAGAGCATCACAGTCACACATCAAAACACATTTATGTTTGCAACAAAATGCTTCAGAATGATCTCATATCAATAAGTAGGCTTATGAGGAACTATAGAAAGGAAATGTAAAGCTAACGAAAGTTACCCAGCATTAAGAGATCACAAAAATCTGTGCCTGCAAGAACATATTCTTGCTCTACAATACTTAAGTGTAATAGTTAATACTTGTAGCACACAATAAAAATAGGTCCTTTTCTACCTAAAATCACTTTCCTTCTTTATCCTCTATTATTTCTTGATGCTTTCTTGGCTGTCTAAGTATTCTATCAGTATTTTCCACAATGTACTTACTAATTTGCATCTCAAAAAATCATAGGATATGAAAATTATTCATATTAATCTTTGTATGTATTCACATATATTCAATCTATATTTTATAGCTATATATAAAAATATATATCATAAAAATTATGTAATTATTATAAAGGCAAAAGAGAGCAGCAGAATTATTTAACATCACATCTCTACTGATACTAAGAAGGGGAGCTGCTAAAATTCTTCTAAAAATAACATTCTATGACTGATCTAGACCTTCAACCGTATTCAAGTCCAGGCTACAGCCCAGGCCTTTTGGACCTCTGTATTTTGGCCTTTATAAAATTTTATTTATTTATTCATTCATTCATTCATTTTGTAGTAGTGTTGGGAACTCAGAATAAGCATGCTAGGCAGATGCTCCACCACTGAACTATATCCCCAGCTAGAAATCAAAGAAATGGGGTCAAGAAGGCTTTCACCCACATCCCAGAGAAAGGCCCAAATGGCCAGGCACTGTGCCCCAAGAGAGCCGTATGTGAAGCTCTGAGACTGAAGCTGAAAGTGCAGCTGATACCTCAAGAAGTGGAGATGCCAGGAGCATGGAGCATCTGCTGAGGAAAACTACTGGCAGCTAGTGAACCAAGTCAAGAGAGAGGCCACAGGGGGTACAGCCATCAAGGCCATAGTGATGCATTTGGATCTCACATCTCACAACAACTTGCCCAGGGTACTGGACGTGCAGCTACAGCATTTAATGTTTGCCTTGTTGGGCTGTGTGTTGCTTTGGTGTTGTGGTTTAAACCTAGATGTCCCCCAAAACCTCATGTACTCAGAGGTGGGGCTTATGAAAAGTGATTAGATCATGAGGCCTCTATACGCATGGGCAGGCCACCATACTCATGACTTCACAGCCAGTGTGATGTTAAGGGGCATGGACTGGCTGGTGGAAGCTGGTCACTGGTGCCTTGACCAGGAAGGGTGTATCTCCCTCCCAGGATCCTCCCTTCTCTCTGCTTCCTCACTGTCATGATGCAGGCAAGCTGTCTTCGCAGGCTCAACTACCATGCCGTTTTCTGTGTTTGAACCTTCCAAATATGGACTGAACTGCCTGAAACCATAAGCCAAAATAAATCCTCCTTTAAGTTTCAGGTGCTGGGTGTTGCATCACAGCCATGAAGAAAATGACTAAGACATATTTGGTCCAATTCCTTTCTATCCTCCTGTTACTCTCCTTTGGAGTGGGAGCATTTACTCTGTGCTATTGTATTTAAATCGTTTTTTGCTTGTTTAAGTCAGATTCCTACAGCTAAGAATTTGCCTTGAGTCTTAGAGGAAACCCTGGGCTTGAATTTTTCAGCAATGCTAGAACTGTTGATTTTGGCAATTCTCAGTGATGGGCTAAACGAGTTTTGCATAATGAGATTAAATTTTTGAGGCCTGGGAACAGAATGTTATGGATTAGATCTGAAATGTGTTGATGTCTGGAAAACGATTGATCTTGGGATGACTATATACATTGGTGGATTGGTCCACTGATGAGCTCACAGAGAATTGGTGTAAGAGGTAGACATGGGTCACTGGACGCAGGACCTAAAGGGGACAATCTCGTGCTCCTGTCCCCTCTCCCTTCCTCCTGCTTCCTGGCTGCCATGGGACAAGCAGCTGTCCGCTACCAGTCCCTCGCACTGTGAGTTTCTCCTTGGAGTTAGCTGAGAATGGATGGGATCCTCTGAAAACCAGGAGCCAAAAATAACCCTTTCCTCCTTTAAATCGTGGATGTTGGGTAAACACTTCATCCTTGCCATCGATAAACAGTTAACAAATGATCAAGATGTGATATGTGTACCTACCAACTCTCCAGGATGAATGTAGTTATTATATATCACAAACATAAATAAAAAATAGGGTAAATTTTGTAGTATGTGAATTATATCTTGATAAAGCATTTTTTTAATAAAAAGGGGCATAAAAAGGCTTGAAAGAGAGAAATGAAAGTATGTGATGCTATTCTAACACTTCTGGAGGCTGAGACAAGGAAGGTTACAAGTTCAACTCTGCCGGTGCAACTTAGCAAGACCCTATGTCAAATTTTTTAAAAATTTGAAAAGGACTACAGATGGATCCAGAGCAAAGACACTGGGATTAATCCATAGTACTATGAGAAATAGATGGATAGATAGGTAGATAGATACATAGATAGATAGATAGATAATAAATACATAAATTCTACAGTTTTTCTAAACTATCCTAACCATAGGACATAGATAGCTTTCCTATACATGTAAAGATAATTCTTGTTTTAACTGTGCTCTTGGAGTTGAGAGTTATTACTTACATTCTGCATAGTTTCATTTGTGAGATAAGAAATGACTCAAAGGAGGATATAAACTTGGTCAGAAATTCCTATTAAAAACAAGGAAATCTCCCTTAGCCCCATACTGAATGTTACCAATGCTTTTTATTTCTTTAAGAGGATATAATCAGTTTCCATGACATTTCATGAAGCCATAGAATGCGACTAAGTGTGATGTGAAAGACTGTGTTAAGTATTTGAGTGATGTGAGCTACAGAGTGTTTGTCCTCGAAAAGCAAAAGATCAAGGAGAAACAATTGTTATTTAAGTTTATAGATTGGTTGTTTCTTCTATTCACTGTGAAGCAATGAATATAATAATCAAATGAAGTAGACTGTTGAGCTCACTTACAAGAATGATTATAAAAATGAAATAGTCATCTAAGTGTATTGGTGAGGTCCTACCACTATTAATATTACCAGAGTTTTTCAGGCCCAGGGGATTTGTGGCTCCATAAGAAAATCATTCCATTACTGTATCAACCAAAGGCTGCATATGTCTAATCTCAAAAATCCATCTCTATTTTGCAGACCAAATTTGAATTTGAGTAGATGTAATTAAAGTTCTTGCATCAATACTCAAATATTTATTCAGACATACGCACACACACTTTAGACACTAAGTTACATAAACTATTTATAGATTTTCCTATGTATCAGTATCATTGACTCAGTTCAGATATCAGTAATGGTTTTCAAAGAAACACTTTCTTATGTAAGTTGCAAAAAATGATAAATAGAATAACATAATGTCTCTTTTATAAAATATTTATGAACATCAAATAGTACTTTGTATATATGCCCTTTTATCTAGACACTTACTTCTAAGAATATATCTTAGAGGTGTAACAGCATCAGTGTTTGAAACACATGGACAAATATAGTTACTGTAACACTGACTGATACAGAAAAAAAGAAATGAGAATATGTCAACAGAAGGCTGATTGCATCAGATAGCATAGGCAAATACAATAGAACCCTATGCAACTATTTTAAAAGAAGACAAATACATGTGTGCTGAATGACAACTATATTTAGAAATCATCTTAAGGAGAAACAAATTTGCAAGCAGATATTGTACCATGGTTTCATTCCATACTGTATGTATATGCATACACAAACAGATGGCCCTTTAAAGTTAATACCCATTTAACTACTTTGTGCTATGTAAATCTATTTCTACATTAGAGACTCTAAATTAAGAATACTTGAAGAAGGATGTGCATTCAATTAAGAATAATTATCTGTGAGGAAGGGTGAACTGACATAGAGGATCACTTTTTATTTTGTATATAGCAGTAGCAGGACTTTGACTTTTGCACTTTATCAACAGTTTCAAATAAAAAAAATCAAAATGAGTAAATTATGCTAAATAAAAACTTTTTAATAAAAATATTTATTGAAAATACTTTCCAGTAGCTGGTTGTAAAGTGTTTTTATAAAGTGAAAATGATGATTAAAAGAACATAAATTGACCCAAACGCTGAGTCACTTTAATATCAGCCATCTATTCCCCAGGGTAATGCGTGTGTGGGAGGAAGTGGAAACCATTTTGATCCAATGATTGAGTCTGCATAGAGGAACTATAATCCCAGAAGCATAAAATTCTTGCTGTAACTCAGAACATGCTGACGGGAATGAGATGCACGATCCCTTTGGCAAAAAAGAATGCAATGTTCACATTGCACTGGAGAAGCAAGAGATTGATTTGACACTTAATTCACCAAGGGGCACATTTTTAAAAATACCCACAAGCAGCATGTTCTCAAAAATTGCTTTACCTTCTTTTCAAGAACTTACAAGGATGAGTATCAAGCTTAGGAATGAACATGGCACTTTTCTCCTTGAAGCTTAAAGTCTTTGAAAACTTACGAACACATCACATTTCCAAATCTAAATATTTACTTAAGGGGCCAGGAATATAGCTCAGTGGAATCGTGCCTGCTTGGCAAGCATGAGGTACCGAGTTCGATTCCTGGTACCAAAAAAATAAAAAACAAACAAACAAAAAAATAAATATTTACTTAAAATGCCATGCAATTATATTGAAAGACATGAAATTTATTTTGGGACCAATAAAAGAAAAACAGGCAGTGGATATTTAATAATAGGCAATGCAGATGAATTCACCACACATCTAACTAATCACTCGGTATTTAGGTAATTTCTGGGGTATTTGCTTCTGTTCCAGAGTTAGCAAACTTAGTGCTTCTATTCCAGTGGGCGACCAGGGAAGGGTAAAGTACATCAATGGGACTTCCAACCTCCAACCAAGTGTGGTAAATTTTAAGTAGAACTTTAACTTGTT